ACATAAAGTTCTTATAGTCGAATCGAGCGGCTTGACGAGAAAAATCCAACGAGCCCAAGATCTCCAAATTCCGACATCATTAAGACCTTCAAATGTCTGACGAACGGTCCACGATCAAGGGATTCAATATCGGCCATCCATTCGACTACTCCCTATTTACCCCTGATCTCACACATATTTACAAGCTATGCCACTCCATAATATCTATAAATAAACCCCTCATTTTTCATGAGAGGGGACGGAAGAAAGAAGCAAGTAGAAGGAAGAAGAAGAGAATGAGAAGAGAAGGATAGGAGGGAATAACTCCTCCTCGACCACCGCCGGAGTTCTGCCCGACGCCAGAATTCTGCCGGACTTATGAACAACGCCGGAATTTTGCCCGACCTCAAAGTGACGTGGGAATTCCGCCCGACTTCCAAGTAATGTCGGAGTTTCACCTGAACTCCAAGTAACATTGGAGTTCGATCTCCCCGAATATCATCTAATGTCGGAGTTCTCCTCGGCCACCAACTAACTCCCGACTTCTACCCGACGTCGGACCTCCAACTCCAAGTAAAATTGGACTTCTGCCAATTATCGGACTTTCACCAGTCATCTATCTGATGTTGGATTTCTGCCCATTGATGGACTTCCACTAAACGTCGTCATCCTGATTAACGTCGCCCACCGACTACAATCTTTCTGACCTCCGTCGCCCTCCAACTACGGTCCTCCTGACTTACGTCGCCCGCCGACTACAGTCTTTTCGACCTTTGTCGTCGGCCGACTACGGTCCTCCTGACTTACGTCGCCCTCCGACTACAGTCTTTCCGACCTCCGTCGCTAGCCGATTATGGTCTCCTGACTTACGTCGCTCGCCGACAACAGTATTTCTAACCTCCGTCGCCAGCCGACTACAGTCCTCCTGACTTACGTCGCTCGCCGACTAATGTCCTCCTGACTTACATCGCCCGCTGACTAAAGTCTTTCCGAACTCCGTCGCTAGTCCACTACAGTCCTTTTGACTTATGTCGCCCGCCGACTACAGTCCTTCCGACGTCCGTCGCCCACCGACTACGATCCTCCCGACTTACGTTGCACACCGACTACAGTCCTTCAGACCAAACTAACACATCAACATTGATGCTCTGTATTCTCACTATGTAATCTACTCTATAATATGTACATCAAGCTAAGGCCTTCCCCCGATGAAGGACCTCATTTGCAATAAACTACAATACCAGTGGATTCATTTATACTGGGCTAGGCCTCATGGTTTTTTCCCCTTTTTTCAGGGGTTTTTCACGTAAAAAACTTGGTTTCTCTAGTAAATGACATACCCTCTCTCTTATATGATTGCGTGCCGGATTTTCGTACAACGCTAAGACGTTAAACTTTATATTTCTCTCTACCACCACGAATACTCTAGGATGCAACAGGTATCATTTGAACTTCAACTTCAGCAAACTACATCTCGGAAATACAAACCCAACGATGCCAAATTTGACTAAATCTTAGTCCAAATGGATCCAAATCAAATATCCAAAGAGCATTTGGAAGGTTCAAACCATAATTTGGTTTACCAAATGGTTTCTAAATGTGACATGCTTTAGTAGAATCGAGCGGCTCGATGAGACAAATCCAAAGAGCCTAAGATCGTCAAATTCTGATCATTAAGACATTCAAATGACCAATGAACGGTCCACGGTCAAAAGAATCAACATCGGCCATCCATTCAAATCATTCCCAAATTAACATTGATCCCTTTCGTATTTATTAGTCATGTCACTCTCAGAAAACAATAAAAAAAACCTCATTCCTCATGGAAGGGGGGCCAAGCAAAGAGGGAGAGAGAGAGAGAGAGAGAGAAATCAGATAATTCTTCTTGCCACCAAACTCCTCATCGACCACCTCTAGGCCACCGACTGACTCTGGACTTTAACCCGACAACAAATTGACACCATACGTTTGCTCGGCGACCAACTAATGTTGGATTTTCTGTACGGCCGCTATGTAATATCATGTATTTTGACATTACTAATTTTTTTGGAGTCATTATAACTCCAAATTGTAAACTGTCTTCGTCATGGTATTTTGCTTGAAGTACTTTACTTCCACAAATTTTTTGACACCAGTGAAAATCTAAGGAATTCATATACTATTTTTTATTTCAAAAATTTTGTGTTTTTGGTATTTTTCTGCTCAAATTTGTATTTTCGTTACCAAAAAAACGTGTATAAATTTGTATTGACAAAATTTTCACCGCGTAACTTTTTGTATGTTATAGAGATCGTGATTATGAGCATTTTGAGTATTTATTTGAGATTTTTTCACCGTGTGATTTTATAAATACAACCATTTTTGTCTACTTCAAAATTTATTTTGACATCTAAAAATAGTAGTGTATTAGAATAAAAGTCTTAAAATGTCATTTTATACAATCCATGGTAATTTGATAATTTTCTAAAAATGTGTATTTTTACCTAATAGGATTCTTTTTTGTATACCGTTATGACATTTTGGCATCTTCTTAATTAAGCTTAATTATGCACTATTTATTCTAATGCTTTACAAGTGGATGTGGATATGTGCTTTAGTAATAGCTTGTCGCTATTACTGTTATAGTATATTGATAATATTATACGTGTGTGAAACAAATAAGTAAATACTGGTTGACCTCTTGGTTGGAGACTGATTGATTTTGTACAGGATGGTGGGCCGACGACTTTCCTTTAAATACTACAATTTGGTGTTATCCTATACTAATTCACGTGATACACAGATTGGGAGTTATAAATAGATTATTACTATGTCGACGAACAAAGGGTGACGACTCTATTTACTGAGCCAACGGTTTACTAACACTGATACTAACACTGAAAAACACCATGATAGTCAGGACTTCTTACTTGTTTAGCATTACTACTGAAATGCATACTACTAAGGCATCTTTCTTAATATTGTGTGGATTTATTTTTTTTGTAGGATTTACTATTATTGTAATATTACTCTGTTGCTCTTGCCATCGAATTACTACTATTACTGATATAGATATTGATATTACTGCTTCAATGTACTGATCTTATGCATGTGATACACTTAACAAACGATAAAGAATAATTGGATTGCATGTGTACATTTTGATATGATTTTACTACAATGATTTGATTTCAACAGTCATTAACGATGTTTTGATTTGATGCTTTATATGATTTTATACTGACTGATATTATAGATACGACGATTTCCTTAGAGATCTAACACTCGTACTAGTTTACTACTTTATGACATTTTATATTGTTTATAGATTTTACTACTGCTGCTTGTGGGTTTTACTATTTCTGTATTTATTCAATGATCATATGAATGCAACTGCTATTATTTGACTGTTGACATACATATTGCTCCTTTACCGTATTTTGAGTTCAGTTGTAGGTTTTGGTGACCTGCTGGGCTTTAAGTTCATTGTATGGTTAAAATTTTCAGGTCAAGGAAGGGGAGCATGAGTATGAGGCTAATCAGGGTTCTTCAAGTTCTATTTCTTTTTATTTTAGTTTTTTTTTGTACCCAGGATATGATAGATATGTGATGATTGTGTAGATCTTGAGTAGTGAATATGACTTTTAAAAATGAATATAGATGTGTACATTGATGTTTTAAATTATAGAATATGTTGTACTGTTTATTACTGATAAATGATTTTAGATGGCTCTGGTATTGTTCATGAAAGGATAAATGAACAATTCTTCCAATTTAGTTCTAGGGCATCACACGCTGACTAACGTTGAACTTCTGCCCGATCTCCAACTAACGCTTGACTTTTGCCCAACCATCGATTAACGTCAGACTAACATTTAGTTGTCAACTGATGCCAAACTTCTTCTCGGCTACCAATTGATGTTGGACTTCTTCCTAAACACCAACTTATACAAAACTTCTGCTTGGCCACCGATTGATGTTGGACTTCTTCCCAGCCACCAACTGACGTTTGATTTCTATCTTGCCACCAACTATGGTCATTCTAATCTCAGTCTCCAGATAACAATCTTTCTGACCTCTGTTTTCAGCCAACTACGATCCTTTTGACCTTCAGCATCAGAATATGATCCTTCCGCTCCGTCATCAGAATATGATCCTTCCGACCTCCGTCAATAGACAACAGTCTTTTTGACCATTATCACCCGCTGACTATGATCATTCTGACCTCCGTTGCTAAACAATGATCTTTCTGACCTCTATCATTAATAAAATTGTATAAAAAGAAGCTTAACTCTCCGAATGGAACTCAGTTCTTGTTTTCTAAGATGAGTTTTGAGAATAAGAACTTAATTCCACTGAATTTTAATCCAATAATATTTAAACAAGCTTCAAAAAAATAGTTCCCAAAACTTCCAAATTATTTTCATCAAAACGGCCGGGCTCTTACAGCGATTCTTTTAACAGCTATATTTCTAACAAATACAAATGTCAAAATTTAAGTTAGACATTTATTAATTTATTAAATATACAAAAAAAAAAATTATATAATTATGAGAAAAAAAGACTGGTTAATCCCACATTATAGAATTGTTCTGACTATTCCGGTCGCCGATATAAATATTGAAACAATACATAAAAATAAAGCCAAATAATCTCCCTCTCCTTCTTCCTCCCGTCAAGAACTAAACAAAGTGAGCCGGAGCCACCAAAATCTCCGGCCTCTTATGAGAATTCCGGCCGGTGACCCCCAAAGGGGGCATTCATGGCCAACCATGGCTTTAGCTCTAGCTTTTCTCTTCTCCATAAATAACTTTGCTTTTGCCTCTAAAGAGCCACAATTTAACTATTCTTCGTCTCCACCAATTACACATTATTATAAATCTCCCCCTCCACCTTCACCCTCCTACTACCACTACAAATCTCCACCACCAACATACTACCATCAATCCCCTCCGTCTCCATTGCCACCGCCGCCCTCACCATCGTCATACGACTATAAATCTCCTCCTCCACCATCGTCATCGCCACCACCTTATTACTACAAATCTCCACCTCCACCATCTCCATCTCCACCACCTCCATACTACCATCAATCTCCTCCTCCATCATCTCTATGGCCACCACCACCCTTCCAAGACACGTTTTCACCGCCACCTTCTCCATCGCCACCATCATCTTATTACTATAAATCTCCACCCCCGCCATCACCATCACCGCCATCAACTTATTACTATAAATCTCCACCGCCTCCTTCACCATCATCGCCGCCATATAATTATTACTACAACTCACCACCACCGCCGGAAGTTTCATCGCCGCCACCTCCCCCTCCACCTCATCCACATGAGCTCTTGGTTAAGGTTGTTGGCACTGTTTATTGCTACAAGTGCTATGATTGGAAACAACCTGTGGATTCTCACATCAAAAAACTCTTCAAAGGTAAGCAATCCTGGATTTTCTATTTTGGAAGGAAAGGAAAATATAATTCGCTTTATTAATTACAAAAATACCTCCATCGTTTTTTTTTTTGGCTATTTGGATTTTTGTAAGGATTCACAATTTGGATCTTTACTTTTGGGATAAATTTTTTAGAATAAATTTTAAAATTATTTTAAATGAATGCAATGTAAATTTTATTAAAAAATTTATTTCTGTAATTCCGCTTCCACAGCAAATTCTGCTTTGATGAAATTGAAAACAGTTGTTTTATAATTTCTGCAATTCTTTTTATATAAGAACAAAAATCATTTCTTTTTTGCAAATCAAACTATATCTAAGGTCGAAACATAGCAAAAATGACAAAACAAATCGTCTGTAAAGAACAAAAAAAGAAAAGAATTTATTTATTTTTAAATATTGATTTTATTTTAATTACTATTATTTCATTAACGCGGTAAAGCCGGCCGGGCGGAGGGAATTAGAAAATTACCCTTTTTTTAATATTTTAAGGAAGCAATTGTTTATGTATATTTGTGCAAATGTTTTCTTCATAGTAAGGTAAGGATTAATTATTTTGTACGGGCGTCGAATATCATTCAGATGTGAACTTCCTTGTCTTGAATGTACAGCTCGGAGAGATAGAATGAAAGTAAAAAGTCTTATTCATTTTGAGAGATTACAAGAGTATATATAAAGACTTTAAGGTGCAAGCTATTCCTGCGGTACAATTTAAGTAACTTGATCCGTGGTAGATGATTGGCTTAACACCCCCTTGCAAACTGATGACGTGTGAGGCGAGATCAGTTTGTTAGCGAGATGCCGGAATTGAACAATAGATAAGGCTTTTTTAAAGATGTCCGCTATTTGATCTTTTGTGGAGATATGATGTACTTGAATGGAATTGTTTTTGATGCATTCCCGGATGTAATGGCAGTCCACTTCAATGTGTTTGGTGCGAGCGTGGAAGACTGGGTTATTTGCTAATGCGATCGCCGACGTGTTGTCGCAGAAGAGCTGGGTAGGAGTGGTTTGTGGGCAGCCAAATTCTTGAAGAAGTTGGCGGGTCCAGATGAGGTCGGCTGCGGCGGCAGCCAATGCTCGGTATTCTGCTTCGGTGGATGATCGAGCGATTGTGCTTTGCTTCTTGACACACCATGTCACAAGGGAGCGGCCGAGGAAGTTGCATTAGCCCGTAGTGGATTTCCGGTCTTTGTGGTCGCCTGCCCAATACGAATCTACAAAAGAGGTAAAACAAATGAGGATCCGAGAGAGGTAAGCCAATGTTTATGGTTCCTTTGATGTATCGGAGGATACGTTTGAGGGCGTCGAAGTTACTGTCGGTCGGTTGATGCATGAATTGGCAAGCTTTGTTGACGGCATAGGTGATGTCGGGACGAGTTAAGGTGAGGTATTGGAGAGATCCTACTAATTGTCTGTATAAAAGTGGTTCGAAGAAAGGTTTTGAGGAGATAGGGGAAATGTGAAACTTAGCTGTTATGGGTGTTGTGGTGGGCTTGCAATTGAGCATTCCTGCGCGTTGTAGTATGCTGGTTGCATATCGACTTTGGTGAAGTAGTAGGCCGTCCGGTGTGGGAAGAGCGGTGATGCCGAGGAATTGAGAAAGGTTGCCGAGATGCCGCGTGTTGAAGCGATTGTGGAGGTTGCTGAGAAGAGTTTGCACAGCTGCCGCATTGTTACCTGTGATTATATGAGATCATCAACATAAATTAGAAAGTAGATCTGAATATTAGATTAATGGAGGATCATAAGCGATTGGTCGGAGTTGCTAGTGCGAAATCCTTGAGTGTAGAGAAAGCCGGTTAAGGTGACGAACCATTGACGCGGGGATTGCTTGAGTCCGTACAAAGCCTTGTTGAGTTTGCAAACATGGTTTGGGTGAGTGGCGTCGGTGAAACCGGGGGGTTATTTCATGTAGACTAGTTCTTGAAGTGAACCATGCAGGAAGGCATTGGAGATGTCGAGTTGATGTATGGGCCAGTGCTTGTGAAGGGCGAAAAGAATGAGAATGCGAAATGTGGGAATTTTAGCGACTGGGCTAAAGGTTTCCGTGTAGTCTAGACCAAATTCTTGCTTGTAGCCGAGAGCGACGAGTCTGGCCTTGTATCGAGCTATTGAGCCGTCGGAGTTGTACTTGGTTCGAAACATCCATTTGCAGCCTAAAACGTTTTGATGTGGGGATGAAGGAACCAGCTCCCATGTGCCCTGAGATTGAAGCGCTTGGAATTCTTGGGACATGGCGGAGCGCCAGTGTTTGTGTTGGGCAGCTTGAGTGTAGGAGGTAGGGACTCTAGGGGCTAGTTGATGTGTAAGGTTAAGGATTTGTTTGGGTTTAAGATGACCGGTTTTAGATCTGGTTATCATGTGGTGAGTGGTGTTGCGGAGTGCCTGAGTGTTAGAGGTAGTGGGAGATGGTTCCGTGCTGGGGTGACCGAGAGTTTGTAAGTCCGTGAGGTTTGTTGTAGTGAAAATTGAGTCCGGCTGAGTGGTAATTGGAGATGAGCGGGTGTTAGTTGATGTGTGGGTGGGCTGCTGTTGCTGGACGTGAGGAGGTATAAGGGAGGAGGGGACCAAGAGCAGGGGCGGGATAGTGTTGGTAGAGTTTTGATTCGGGACGTGTGATTGAGTTTGGTGGTAGGGAAAAATTTGTTCGTTGAAGACGACGTGGCGGGAGGTATAGATGTGATTAGTGTCGGGATCGAGACATAGATAGCCCTTTTGAGTAGAGGGGTATCCGATGAAAACGCACGGCTTGGAGAAAGATTCGAGTTTAGATTTGGCATAAGGTCTTAGCCACGGGTAACACAAGCATCCAAAGATTTTTAGGTGTTGGTATGAGGGCGGTTTGCTGTAGAGAGATTCGTGAGGTGTTTTGTTTTTCAGTTTTCGAGTAGGTAAGCGGTTAATTATGTGGATTGCTGTGTGAAGAGCGTGAGTCCATAAGGAGTGTGGAGCCTTGGAGTGAATTAACAGGCTCCGAACTGTCTCAAGAATGTGGCGGTTTTTCCTTTCAGCGAGGCCGTTTTGGGAGGGTGTGTGTGGGCATGTGTATTGATGCCGCATTCCAGATGTTTTGCAAAATTGTTGGAAGGAATTGTTAATGTACTCTCCGCCTCTGTCGGTTCTTAAAGTTTTAATAGTTTTATTGAATTGGCAACGAATCATATTATAGAATTCTTGAAATTTAAAGAACATCAGATTTGAGAGAAAGCGGGTATACCCAGCAGTACTTACTATGCTCATCAATAAACGTAACAAAATAGCAAAATACATTTAAAGAAATAATGGGGGAAGGACCCAAAACATCGGAATGGACAATTTCAAAAGGTGCAGAAGTAAATGAGGAAGAATTTAGGGATGGTAGTCTATGGCTTTTTGCAAGATTACACGTATTACAATATTTGAAGGTAATTATAGAGCGAATATTTGAATGTTGCTGTGCAAGACATTGCAGTTTGCGAGTGTCCTGGTGACCGAGATGGCCATGCCAGAGATCGGGAACCATTTGAACGGAGAGAAGTGCAAGATTGGCAGGCGAGGTGGATGTCGAGACAGAGTAAAGTCCGTTATGGCAGGGTCCCCGTAGAAGAACCCGTTTGGTCTTCAAATCCTGAATCACATAACCCCGTGAGGAAAAAGAAACAATGCAAGAATTATCGTGGGTTAGTTGATAAATGAAGAGAAGATTAAAAGATAGGTTAGGAACGTGATGGATTTTATTGAGCTGGAGACTACCTGATGGGGTAGGGAGAATGCCAGTACCCCTGTTACGAATGGAGAGGTTTTGTCCGTTTCCAAGAGTGACCTGTGAGTTGCCGTGATAAGGTTCGGTGGTAGAAAATTGAGAAGCGTCGGACGTTAAATGTGTGGAGGCGCCACTGTCCAAGAACCATTCTGATTGACGAGAGGCTTCCATTGGGCTGAACAGTGCTGGATGGGAGGTGGGTTCTTGATAGTTGGTATCATGTCGATACCAGCATTTTACCGCCGAATGTCCGTGCTTTGCGTAGATTTGGCAAACGATGTTGCGATTTGATTGTCGTTCAGGTCAGCTGGAGGGGTTTGTATTACTGTTGTTGTGTGAGGTGCGATTTGGTTGACGACCGCCGCGAGAATAGTGATTTCGGCCTCGTCCTCATCCACGGGCGGCTGCTAAAGCGGTTGGATTTTCTGTGAGATGCAACTGCTGCATAGCTTTGGATGCTTCTTGAGAAAGATTAACTTCTTCACTACAAAGAAGTGTGTAGAGGTCATCAAGGGTGATGGGTTGGAGATTGGTGCGGATGGCGGCTTTGAAGGCTTGATAGGTTGCGGGTAGGCTATTTAATGTATAAAGAATGACGTCTTCGGGATCGAGATTACTGCCGGCAGCGGAGATGGCGTCAACTTTGGATTTCACGGTGAGGAGATATTGTGACATAGATTGATCGCCTTTGGTGAGGTTGTGGAGTTCATTCGTTAGCTGAATGATGCGGGAACGATTTGAGGCTTGTAAGCGATGATTTAGGGTGGCCCAGATATCCGCGCAGTGAGTTAACGAGAGAACGTATGGTAGAATTGATGGGGTGATGATTGAGAAGAGGGCAGCGACAAGATTTTGATCGAGGAGTTGCTAGGCTTCGCAAGAAGACGCAGTGGATGTTTCTTGCGGAGGTTTCTTGGAAGATCCGTCAAGAAATTCTTGGAAGCCATTTGCCGCAAAGATTTTCTCAACTTGGGAGAGCCACAAAGGATAGTTGTCGGAGGTGAGGGGATTGGCGACGAGGTTCTTGATATTGCTGAGGACGAATTTTAGTTGGAGAGGGATGATTATGAGTGACTGTGATTGGCTTATGGGAGTTGATGAGGTGGGTGAGTTTGCCATTGGCAAGAAGTTGAGTATGGAAGAAAGGCAGACGAAGGAGAAAAGCACGAAATGCGAGAAAGACAAAAGATGGGAAGAAGAGGACTTATCTGTGCTCTGATACCATGTGAACTTCATTGTCTTGAATGTACAGCTCGGAGAGATAGAATGAAAGTAAAAAGAGTCTTATTCATTTTGAGAGATTACAAGAGTATATATAAAGAGTACTTTAAGGTGCAGGCTATTCCTGCGGTACAATTTAAGTAACTTGATCCGTGGTAGATGATTGGCTTAACATCAGATAGCAATCAAAATGCTCTACGTCACCCGTGTGTTTAGTACCGCGGCTCGGTATTGCTCGGTACCGCTGACACGGGACATTCTAGTTGGTCTTCGAACTGCATTTTGTATCTGGTCTCCACACAACAATTTCTCCAGATGATTGAGGGTGTTTTTTCGAGTTAGTATGTTCGGGTCTTATCCAACTTGACCCGATCGATCCGAATATACTTGATTCTAATTCAAACATATTTATATATAAAAAAAAAGTTAAAATGATTGAACCAAATATGACTCCATCCATATCGATCTAACTCAATCCCGACTCATTTGACTTGTGTATTATATAGATCGTGCAACTTTTTATATCAATATAATGGTTTTAACCAAAATACGACTTATTTAACTAGAAAATAATCGGTTTAACCCAAATTAAATCAATTTCATCCAAACTTGAATGATAATCAAGTCAATTATAAATTTTCTGATCAACCTGAATCCAATCATAAAATAAATCTGACCAACATTTCAACCAAAACTTAGATTTTTTTCAAGTTGGATTCAAATCAATTTATACAATTGAGTTGTTTATAGATAATAATAAAGATATTGACATGACAAAAAAACTTTACAAAATAATATTAGGACTCTTAATAAAAAATAATAATATTATTAGGATTTCTTTTAATTGAATGATATAATTGTTGTTAGAATTAATTAATCACTTAGTTGAATAAAAAATTTAATTTTCCGAATAATATTAGGATCTCTTTATTTCTGGAAGAAAATTAAATTTCCGAATAAATAAAAAGTTTGGACAAATAACCCCAAGGTTAGTGGTGAATAATCTTCTAACTTATAATTTTAGTTTTTAGATAAAGGCTTTATTTAGGATAATTTTCTCACTGATTTCTAAAATAATTTTTAGTACAAATTTTTTTTAAGTAGCGACCAAAAGCCATCTTAAACGGAACTTTTGGAACAGATTTCTTATTACTTTCTAAAGTAATTTTTTAGTCAAAAAATTCCTTAAAAGTATAAAAACAGTAACAAAAATTGTCGCAAATGATTCAACATAACTAATCTTGAGCAAGGCTTTTACCTCTATAAAATTTATACACTTTCAATATATTTGCATGGCTATTAGTTTATTGATTTGAGCGAGCAAAAAATTATTTCTCTAATAACCCTATGGCTTTTTCTTAATGATTAACATGTAATCTTTCCAACTCTTGGGAGCAGATGCCGTTGTTAAGGTGACTTGTGAGGCTGGAGACAATACTTATGTTGCTTATGGGAAGACCAAAAACTTTGGAAAATACAGCGTTACTGTGAAAGGATTCCCTTACTGGAAGTATGGAGCAAAGGCTTGCAAGGTCGAACTACACGCTGCGCCAAAGGGCTCAAAGTGCAATTTTCCCACCGACCTCAATAAGGACTCCCCACTCAAAGTAATATTCAAATCACATGAGCTCATTGTGCTTAAGGCCAAGTCTCTTGCATTTGCTCCAAAGACTCCTTATGAGGAGTGTGACAAACCTAAACCTTCTCCATACAGTTATATTTCTCCCCCACCACCAACTCCAACCTATTATTATAAGTCTCCGCCTCCTCCGTCATCTCCTTCATACTACAACTCTCCTCCGCCGTCATTCCCATCTCCCCCATATTCTTATTATTATAAATCTCCACCTCCACCATCTCCATTTTTGTCACCCCCTTATTACTATAACTCTCCACCCCCATCCTCACTGTCACCTGATCCTCCTCCATACCACTATAGCTCGCCACCACCTCCATCTCCTTCTCCACCGCCTCCTTACTATTATAAATCACCACCACCACCCTATTCATCTCCTCCTCCTCCACCATACGACTACAACTCCCCGCCACCTCAACATTCATCTCCGCCACCTCTAGCTCCTTATCACTATAAATCTCCACCACCACCTTCTCCATCTCCACCACTTCCTTATCATTATAAATCCCCACCGCCACCTTTACCATCACCTCCTCCTCCAACCTATTATAACTCCCCTTCACCTCCATCACCATCACCACCCTACCACTATAGCTCCTCACCTCCACCATCTCCATCCCTTCCTCGTAGCTCCATGTTATTTTAACTCTCCATCATCTCCCCCTCCTCCGTACTATTATAGCTCCCATCAACCATCCATATCTTCACCTCCTCCTTACTACTACAAGTCTCCCCACCTTCGTCACCATCACCATTCCCTCCAACGTACATCACAAACTCCCTTCATCAACACCGTAATCCCCTCCTAGACGTGACCTTAATTAAATCTCCACCATCGTCATCATCATCTCCTACTTTGTACTTCAACCTTGCACCATTTCCATCTCATCACTAATTTTACTACATTTCCACCTTCCCATCACAATCTTATCATCTTTAAAGGGCTGTCTTAATAATCTTGATGCCAATTACATAATTAAAACTATCATGAGCTATTCTGATGTCTTAGCTGTGCTGAAAAACTTGGTTTCATGCAGTTGAGAAAATAATATTATGGACATTATGTTGAAGGCCTTTTTTCTTTTTTCGCTTTGTTTTAAAGCATATTAATCTCTTGCATTTTGTGTACATCTCTACAATTTGGTCCTTCTCTCTCTCTTTTTTTAATTAATCATTTGATGTGAACAGCATTTGGTGATTCAACTAATTACCAATTAGCAAAAATATCTATCAATATTATTTAATGCTCTTTAACACTGCTATATTAATCCATAATAATAAATTTTCTAAAAGGTAATTTGGTTACTTTAGATAGAGAAAATTATTTTACAAAATTACATATTTCACAAAAAATAAAATAAAATTAAATTTTAAAATCTTGTGCAACTTAAGATTATCGTACGTCCATTTCCATTATAATTTCTATAAAATGCTAAAACTAGGGACGTCTTATATCGCTTTATTTTTTTTCTATTTTATTTTTATCCTTAATTGGAATTAAAAACATATATATATTTACTTTTCAAATATATATCAATATTTAAAACAGAACTACATAATCATAAGAAAATAAACGTAATACGAAAAATGAGTTATTTCCACAGCATTTGATAAACCGTTGCAATATTTTTTGTGACAGTTAGAACTGCTGCCAAGGCCCTTCTAAAACATTGCGAAATTCTTTTTTTTTTTAGTGATGCAATTCAGCATAAATATATCAGGAATTCAGTTTTAATTTTGATTATTTATTTATTTTTGAAATTTTAATAAAAAGAAATATTATAATATCTCATTACTGACATGATTCTTTATATTGATAAAACTCATTAACATTAAAAATATTGATATATACTTATTATGATTAATAATCTAAATGAATGAGTATAATATTTTACATATTAAATGAAATATTCTTGTTGTGGACTATAATATTCACAGTAATAGAGAAATATAAATATTAATGTCCTAGCATTATACGAAGATCCAGCACACAAATAGATAAACAGTTGAGCTGTAGCGTTCATAAGAGACACACTAGAGTTTTTATGTGAAAACCCTTAAAAAAGAGAAAACCAGAGGGACTTGCCCAGTTTAAATGAATCCACTAATATTTGCATTTGATTATAAATGATGCCTTTCCTTGGGGGTGGGGGCGGCCTTGGCTCGATGTAGCAAACATACATTATATAGAGTATATTACATGGTGGGAGTTGGAAAAATCAATGTTGATATGTTCGTTTGGTTGGCAAGGCCATAGTCGGTGAGTGATGTAAGTCGGAAGGACTGCAGTCAGGATCGAGAAGGTGGTTGGAAGTACCGTAGCTGGGCGATGAAGGTTGGAGAGACCGTTGTCGGCAGGAGATGAATTAAGGTCAAAAAGACTGTAGTCGAGTGAAGGTGGTCGGAAGGACCGAAGTCAGGAGATGAAGGTCGGAAAGATTTTAGTCGGGCGAAAGTTGGCAGAAAGATCATAATCGGGTGATGGAGGTCTAAAGATCCATAATCGGTGAGCAATTATGGTTAAAAAGATCATTGTCAGGTGACAAAGGTTGGAAGGGATGTTAAAGGTATCATAGTCGATCGGCAGATGATGGTGGTAAAAAAAATTATTGTCTGGCGACGGAGGTCAGAAAGGCCTTAATCATGTGACGATAATCAAAAGGATCATAGTCGAATGATGATGGTCAAGAGGAAATTCGATGACAACCGATAGACTGATGTAAATCCGATGAAAATTGTTGTTCGGGCGAATGTCTGATGACAATCGATGGCCGAGCATAAGTCCGACGACAATTGGTGGCCGAGCGAAAATCCGACGACTGTCGATGGATAATTGGAAGCTCGATGATGGTCGATGAGCATGCATAAATCCAGCATCATTTGGTAGCCAGGAAAAGTCCGATGACAATCAATAGCCAGGCGGAAGTCCAGTGATGGTCAGTGGCCGGACGGTGGTCAAGGTGTCTGGTTGCAAGAGAACTATGAACTCTCTTCCTTTTCTCTCTTCCCTGCTTCCTCCCTTTCCTCCCCCTCAATGAAGAATGTGAGGACTATTTTTTGTTTTTTGGGAGTGACATGACCAGAAAATAGGGACAAGATCAAGGGCATGTTGGGAGTGTTTTAAATGAACGATCGATATTAACACCTTAGACCATGAACCTTTTATTAAGCATTTGAGTGCCTTAATGATTTGAGAATTTGTCGATCTTGGGCTCGTTGGATTTGTCTTATCGAGCCGCTCGATTCTACTATAAGCATGTCACATTTGGATGTGATTTGGTTATTCAATTTATGGTTTGAACCTTTTATATATGCTTCATGTCCCCGATTTGGACCCATTTGAGCTTGGATTGGATCGAATTTTGTGTCGTTGGGTTCGTCTTTTCGAGGAGTTCAGTTCGATTATTAGTTAGCTGAAATCATAGTTCAAATGGTCCCGCATTTAATTTTAGAAGTTTCCAATTCAAAGTTGCTTGGAGATTCGTGCCCGGTCATAAAAATTATTTGATGATATATCAATTGTAATATTATTTTATTGATTTAGTTTATATAAATCTATTGATCCTACATAATGTAACTTGTTAATCTGCTTAATAATTAAGGTTTTATTATAACGTTTTCTAGTTGCGTTGTTTTTCATATAACAATCATAATTTTATTTGGCTATTATTTTTTAAAAAAATTTATGACTATTTTTTTAGAAATTTTTATGATGGATAGTTATTTTTTTGACAATCATAATAGCTACGTTACTTTTTTCACATTAACTTCACAACCAACTTTATAAAACGCTACAGCAATCCAAACAAACCCTAATACTTTATATGCTTCTCATGTGATAGAAGTCTTATTGCCTTCTTTTTAAGTTTTTAATTGCATTTAAAAGCCTTAGAACAGACTTCTAATTATGTGATTTTAAATCATGATTAATATTAAATTATATATTTTATTTGCAATTTAATAGGAAAAACTAGAAGGACTTTCCTCATAGTGGACCTGATGGTCTTTCCATTAAAATTCTATTGGAATTCCCCTTAATTTCAGTCTCCATCAATTTGATGGCTGAGCAAATGAATTTGAGTGTATAATTACTTGTGAGATGAATTTGATGCTTCTTCGCTTTGTCTTTACCTTTTTTTTTTTTCCCCCATCAAATTTCATACATTTTTGTCATGTTTTGTTTTAGAAGAGTTGAAAAATCTCCTTATGCTAATCCTTGGTGGGATCTAACTTTCTTTAAAGCATTTAGTAGAAATTTAAGCACATTAACTTAAGAATTTAGCTCAAGTGAAGTGCACCAAAAATGAAAATTAAAATATAATTTTTTTAAAAGAGAAGATTCAACAAATATGAATGAAATATTTTAATAAAATTTTTAATGAAGATTGCGAGAATATAATTGACTTTAATGATTTTAACATCCTAAATATAAATAAAGATTTTTGTTTTCATCATCATATTAGTACAATCGAAATTAGATATATTTTAAAGAAAATGAAATGTGTAAAAATAATTGCATATGATGATATTTCAATAGAAGTGTGAAAATGCTCAAAAAATAAAAAAAAAAATTACTATCCTTTTTAATATTGTTTTAAAAATAAAAAAGAGATCAAATATATGAAAAATAGGTGTTTTGATTCTTATTTATAAGTATAAAGATGATGCATAAGAATATGAATTATAAAAAAAATTAATTTAATATATCATAGATTAAAAATTATGGGAGTAATTGAGCATAGATTATAAAATGGAAATTATATTTCTCAAAATAAGGATAAAACTCACAAAAATGATAAACCAATTTTCATAAAAATAGAATATGCACTTAAATTACCAGGTTTTGATTTCTTCCCCACTATAAATGGCAGCTATTGTTGCAATTTTATTTTTCAGATCACAATTATAATTTTTATTTGGACATTAATTTTTTACTGCTTTTAAAAAAAATTATACTAAAAAAATTATTTTCTATAACAGATTTAAAAAATTACTTTCCCTATAACAGTTTTACGAAATAAAAAAAAAATTAATCTCAAACAAAATCAAAATGTCTCGTGGCATTTGGGGTCAAAAAATTCTCAATCCTAACACTTACAGCTTGTGCAGAGTGACAGGATATTGCTACTTATAAAAATAAAGCAACCTTTCATCCAAATTCTCCAAGGTGTTGCAATCATTATGTCTCTTAAAGATCTGCAATAATCCCTCTAATTACCCAATAAAGGAAGCCTGATTCAACCAGTAAATCAACAACAAATATTTAGTAAATATCTGAAGAATATATTGTTACAGATGTTGATAAATTTTCAATTCCTATTAAAAATCAGAAAATAGTGAATTGAAATGAAATGTCACAAAAAAAAAAAACAACCAGACATGAATAATTCACTCAAAACTGCTCGTAAACTCTCCTCCTGGCAACATAATTCAGTTGTTTGAGTCATCCTCATTCCTGATAAGAGAGTAGTAAGGAACCTTCCCTACTACAAAAATAGAATTTTATTATCAAGAACGTCCTCATCCTTCATGGCAGCCCATTTGGCTGCAAAGAACCTATATAGGTTTAGCAGCAGAAGTAGAGGAATGTTAATGTTTACCATCTCCAAATCCTTGGCTTCCAGATGACGACGGACCAGGAACCAAATCACCATTTGCAGACTCTTCATCCCTACATTTGGCTTCTTCATGATCCACATTTGCTGTCTCGGATGTTTTTTCCTCTTCTTCTGAGCCCCTGTATTCATATATATTGGTTGATGATTTGTTCTTACAATAAGGTTTATTACTTTGGTTTTGTTTGGGACGGCTTTCTTAACGCTTCTTAAAGCAGCTTTTTAGTATAAAAATTAAAAATTTTGTACTACAAAGCTGCTTTAAGAAGCAGTAAGAAAGCCGTTTCAAACAAAACCTTAAAGTTGGAAGAAGTTTACCATGAGTATATGATAAGTCCAATAGTAACTGCAAAAAATGCTATAAAATACATCCAATCAACCTGCAAAAGAAATGAAAAGCTAATATTTTGCTTATACCATTTGGTTCGACATGGGAATATGTAATTCTAAGTAGTCGTGGTTGAGAACCTTTTCATGATAAGCAAAGATGCGTATGAGAACTGCCCACATATCTGAAGTGAGCAGAGAAAGGTTTAGCATGGCAGAGCCACTTATCTGCAAGATAAAAGAAGGAGAAGATGATCAAACGTGATTCATAAATTAGTTCCATATTTTTATTTTTATACTAATGTGAATTTTTTCGCAGTAGCCTATGCAACGAAAAACAAAAACATATTTTCCATAAGCAACATTACATCTAAGTAGACAAAAAAAATGCTCTTGACGTGTTCTGGCAGAAAGATAAAACACAATCGCTTTTCTACTTCATCTTTTTTTTATTTGGCATCAATTTGGTTGCGTGTGATAGTCTAAATTAATAAGGATCTAAAAAATCATAAAAATTGATCGGATTTAGCTCCTTCATAGTTTGTTTTGATTTATGATTGTCTTTTAAGAAACTAGACTTCTGTGAACTAATTTAGTTAACTAGCCAGCCAACACAGACAATGCTGCATCAACTCTCCCTGAGGCACCAAAAACTCTCCTATAGATAGCTAACAACAATGCAATACATGAAGAGATCAGCTGCAAGCTTTGCAATACTTCTGTTTTCGTTCATAAGTCAGCTGAGGAAGCTTATATTTCTATCCAATCAAAGAGTTTGTGCTTCAGTACATTTTTCAAATATAACGTCATTTCAAATGATGTGCTCGACATCAAAGCAAGAAGATGCAAGAAGAATGATGTGACGGCTTCGAAAATTCACACTAGCAATGCTGAGAGAGTTTTGATATCCCGGATCAAATTTTAGAAGGCAGATTATTTTGAAGTAAGATACAACCCAAACATTTTAACCTCATTTTATGAGGGCTTTATGATCTAATTTCAGGTTTCACATAAGTATAAGTACCCATGATTAATTAACTTTCTCAATTACTTGAGATGATTTTTTATTAAGGCTAGTCATTAGAAACTAAGTGCTTAATGTATAGAAGCATTGGTATAGAGTTGAAAATTTACAACTTAAAACTTAAACAAATTGTGGGGTGAATAATGACGAACTTGATCAAGATCTCATAGTTCCATCATCTAGGATTATTAAGGACCATGATCTACTTGATAAGACAAGATAGTTGACACAACCTGATTGAAGGAACTTTTTCAGCAGTCATGAGTTACTTCGTCCAAGGGATCTTTATAAATTTGAAATGAATATTTATCTAAGGGAAAATATTTAAGTCGGCCTTAGCTAATAGAGGACTTAATGTCATATCAAATGCACCAAATGATTCATTACTAAAACATTTTAGCTATTGGGAACTTATGGGATTTAGTCATGATCATAATTTAATGGTGCTATTTTATAGCAAAATTATTCAGTCAGAGAGCCCCGATCAAAACCGTATAAATGTGGAGTCATTTGGCAGCAAAAACATTAGTTAAAAATGTGTCACATCTTTACTAGCAAGAAATTTTTTAAGAATAAGCCACAGCTTGACATGATATTGGTTCTTTATGGTGTGGGATTATCCTCAAATTTATCACACTAGATAAATGGAAGTAGATAGTGGATGAATTTTTCTTTAAAGTTTAGGGGATTACTTTCACTCGAATATTTTGGATTTTGCACATGCTGAATTTTTAATTTTTACCAAATTTTAAACCCAACATTAACTTTAAAATTTGAGAGTATTTTGAAAGATTCTGAGATTTTCTTATCAGTAAATTTGATTTTGTAATGAGTATTTTAAAAGTATATTTTGATATATATATATGGTCAAAGCACGTTTTAATTCATTCTTTATTTTAACCCACACAAAATTCTTGAACATTAAATTGAAACTTTCGATGTTTCTAGTCAGAGCATGTGTGGCTATTTTTTTTATTTTGAAACTGAAGTTTGCAAATCTTAACGTGATTACAAACCTTATAGAGTAGTTGCGCACTTTTCAAAATGAGAGAATTTTAGTTTAGCTTGTTTAAGGTCGTGCAACATTCTCAGTTTATGCTTAAATTTTTAATATGTTAGTCAGAATACATGCAAGTAAATTTGATTTCGATAACTTGATATATTGTGCATGCTTTTTGAGATATTTTTTATATTTTTGTGCAATTTGCATTATGCACTTGCACACTTTTGATGCATCCATATGATACTTGCACAAATTTTGAGGCATAATATCTATATTATAGATCACCTCAAAAATCGATGTAAGTCTTAAAGTAATCCCTATTTTAATGTTTGCACAAAAATTTTGTTACTAAGATGCTTGCAAACTTTTCATTTCGAGTTTTTAATAATGCCTTCTATCCACTTGTATGAAAATATTACAGATCGGATGGCCAAGAAAGTAAATTTAAGATAAGTTGAAATATCGACATATTTTCCATATCACTTTTCTTAGAGTTTTAAAATAATTATTTTTAAAGCCATGGGTCTCATGAGGGGTTCACCTTTGTATCTATAAATATGAGAGAGAAGCTAGCTCATTTCACACATTCTAAATTGATTCAATTTTGGGTTCATTAGAGTTAGTGGGTAGCAGTGAAGTTCTGCTCAATTTTTTTTTCAAGTTTTCTAGTTTTTCATATGTTCCCTGTAAGTTCATCTATAGTTCATTAATGTACCATAGTTTGTTTTCATTCAAGTCCGATTATTCTCATTTTTATAATTTTAGCACATTTATTTTAGTTTTGATTTTATCTTAATAGTGCATTTATGTTCTCAATCATTTTCATTTAGTTCATTTTAAGCCACTTTTTCACTGAAAATTTTGAGAACCTTCTGGTTTCTCCCCAGCACAGTTTGTGAAGAATCTGAGTCTGCCCACCATATCAAGAAAGGTGTGCACAATCAGTGTCTTGCAACATCACAACCAAAATTTTCACTATACTAAGAAAGATATAATTGGGGTACTTACATGAGAGGATTTTGCAACAAATATGAATTACACTGCCACACTGAGAAAAAACATGAGGGGGGCCTATCAGCTGAGTTGTGAATTTCCCCTGCCATACCAAAAAAGTCTGCATAGTTTCCGCTCATCATATCAAACTGACAGTAAACTGTTGTATTCTATACCTGAACACTTGAAAGTGTCAAAGTAGCTAGCAAAATGATGACTTTAAGATGTTTTGATAAGGAAAAAACACTATATATATATATATATATTCGAAGAGTGAGAGAAAGAAACAATTAGAGAGAGTGAGAGACTTACAGAGAAATAGGTGAAACACTGTGTTGAGGAGGAAGATAAAATGATAGAGAGGAGATTTCAGCATGCTGGCGTTCTTCGAGGAGCTCCCTGACATAGCAAGTCGAATAGGATAGGGAGCAATGCTGGAGTTTGCGTGAGCAAGAGGGAATGGGAGTCTGAGACTAGGGGTTTTGAGATGAAGAGAAGAAATGGGGGTGGTTGGTCGATGGCTTTACATCACGGCTCTAGCGTGCTAATGAAAGAGCAAGAGAAAGGAGAAATCAAGGTTGTGTGAGGTGGCTACTAGTGCGTGAAAAGGAGACATCGAGTTTTGTGAGGAGTTCGACTAGGCTGTGCTAACCAAAGAACGGACAACCAGCAAGGATTGGGCTTGGAGAGAAGACATTTGCCGGGAAGGTGTGTGGAGAGGAGAAGAGAAGTTGGTTCAAGTTAGACTGCTAAGTTCGCATGAGACAGAAGTAAAGCGGGGTTCGTTCTGAGAGGAGGGGTGAAAGCTTTGTTTGACTGGAGGGGTTACGAAAATGAGAATGAAGTTGGCCTTTTGTTAGGGCCAGTGAGTTTGGGCATATAAATTCTTAGTTTTTTTTTTCTGTTAAATTCAAAAATTGCCATTTTTGCTATTGCCAAACAAAGCAAAGTTGAAGGATCATTCTCCTAACTTTGCTAGGTGCATAGGCAAAATTCCCTTTTTGAAAGGAAATTTCATTTATATACCTTGCATTTACACCACTTTTCTATCATCCAATCTACTCCACAATTGCTCTCATTGAGATCCACCACAGATCATATGGTCCCCAAGTTAGGTATGAAGATTATGGCTTAGTTCTAGTACTTGACACCTTGATAAGAGTGTCAATTATTGACCTGATCCGATAACCCGACCCAAACCCGATATGGAATATATGGGTTCGGGTAGACCAATTTAACAAACAGGTCAAATTTGGGTTTCAATTTTTGATCCATTTGAAAAGTCGGGTTGGGTCCGGGTCAACCCGCTAATATGAATTTGACTTGAGTCATGTTTGACCTCTCCAGTCGCCCCTCCCCTCACCACAGTGCACTCATACTTGTGCACTCCCACCAGGCCACCCTCGGGCCTTACCCGCTCACGCAGTCCTGCATGCTCGCACTCGCCCCGCACCCGCGAGCTCGCCTGCTTGCACCCACACACTCGTGCGGCTCTGCCAGGAAGCATTCACCAGTAGTCGCGCAGCTCGCGCTCGGGTCTTGCAGCATGTGCTCTCGCACTCGCGAGTTAGCCGATAGCGGGTTAGGTTCGGGTCTAAATTTCTAACCCGTTTTTATAATAGAGTCAGGTTCGGATCGAATCAATTGAAGGTGGGTAAGTTTCAGGTTTGACCCAAATTCGACCCGAAAACTCATTTTGACACCCCTACACCTTGGCTTAAAACAAAATCCTAACCAAGTGCATGTCTTTCAAAAAGCAAAACATACCAGAGGAGTGACTAAATAGCCAAGTGTTATAGAGTTCTAATTCAAAACAAAGATTCAATCATAGATGTTATAGTACCCTTGAAATTAAGTAGTGTGTGAATATCACAAGGGGCATCCAACCCACGCATGAATCTCAACCTGGCGTAAGAATAAACTTGCACAGGCATTGTTAGATATCAATGGATCCCGACAAAAAAAATATAAAACAAGTATGTATACAAAACATGACAAACATGTAGCTATCTATATATAATGGAGTCAATATTTCAGAAAAAAACTAGACAAACTAGTTTTGCATGCATCCCATTGAATAGCCTCTGATATAACTGATCCAATCTCGATTACAAATAAGTGCAATGAATTGAATTTCTCCAACATTTACATCGCATAATTAGATTGATCACTTGAAACTAGAAATGCTCTTCATAAAAAGTAAAGAGATGATATTTTCCAATGACAAAAGAAGTCATTATGAAAAAGAAAATTGAAGAGCAGCGAGAACAATAGAAAATGTTAACGGTACCTTAAGTAAGACTGGAACAGCAGAGTAAAACAAAAACATCGCCGAGGAAAATCCAAGGAATGGAAACACCTGAAATTAAGGATGCCAGTGGAACAATTAACCGGAAGTATCATGTAAATAAGCATGACACAAACCATCACTACTTGAACCATAGTAAACTTAAATTTTGAATAGACAATGATCTTAGTTACAGAATCACGAGCAAAGCATCTCTATAAGACGTTAAATTTGATAGAAAATAATAATAATAAAAATACTAATAATAATAAAACTTTTAAGATACTATACAAGAATCAAATAAATAGAAAAGCAATCATTTAGCCAATATATCATCGTGAAAACCAAAGTTCATTAGCAACTGCTTTGGAGATAGGATGCATATTCTCAATAACTGCAACCAACGACAGCAATACAAGTGTATTCCTCTGTAAATGCTAGTCCTTAATATGGCAACAGATGAAAATTTGCCTGAATTTCCAAATTATTAAATTAAATCACAACAAAAGGAGGAATTAGGCTTCGATTGGGACGGCTTTATTCCTGCTTCTTAAAACGGCTTTTTAGTGAAAAAATTAAAAAAATTTGAACTAAAAAATCGCTTTAAGAAGCAGTAAGAAAGCCATCCCAAACGAAGCCTTAAACTTGCAAAATTAGGAACGCTGCCTTCTACATTCTCTAATCCTTGAGAGAAACTCAACATGAATGCTTTTGTTTAGGATATGCAATTTGTATTTCAATTCAATTTTAATGTATAAACATGCCTATATAATGATCATCCATATAGAGAACTCGTTGTTTACTCTATTGTAATAACCTTTATTTTTTCCCCTGGTCTGGTTCGAGTCGGTTGCTGCTGGTTTTATATTCAAAAGATGAGTTTTAAACATCTGCAGGTTTTATGATCTATGTTGGTGTTTCAATTGGGCTGATCTGCTGATTTTATTTGCGCAGTTCAATTACTGATAATGTAGCAATGCGGGAACTCCGATGGATGGGAAAACTAAGTTATGTGTTGTTCCGGCGGAATTAGATAAATTGTGCGACCTTCTGTTCATTGTTATTTGACCAGCGCCTGTCCATGTGTTTCTCATTTTATTGCTGTCCCATGCTTATCCATGTACACTTATTATTCATGGCAGCTGTCTGTGCCCATCCACAAAACTTCTGGTCGAGATTTCAACGATTTTTTTATCCAATATTACCAGCTAGATTACTTAAATACAAATATGAGGCATGTAATTTGTCAATTGAGTGCTTAATAAAATTTCCTCTTCCTCCCAAGTTTTAGTTCTAGTTGGATGTTAAATTCTTTGAGTGTGGTGCAAATGTAACTATTTCTTTTTGGTGGAAATTTTCTCCTAGTACTAATGTGAGAGGTCTGGATTTCCTTATTTGATGAACTTAACATGTTTTCTTTCATCTACATAATTCAATATTGGTTTCTCCAGTATGATTGTTTTGGTTAAAACATCTTCAACTGGATTTCTTGATGAAATTTGAATGCTAATAGAATAGTGGTTTCAAGATTTTTTTTTTTTTGGCAAATTTCTATTTCAACAGTCATTTAGGGCAAATTCTCCATAATTTTTGTTTGAAACCAAAGAGAGCAAGTGATTGGTTAATCGATGGTCTTTAAATCGCATATTCTTAATCTTATTATTTTAGTTTCAGTCATGGCATTATTTTTTTGCATTATGAACACCAAGCCCTAGGATATCTAATAGGAAATAGATGCACTTTATTGAAAAATCAGCATACAAAATCAAGAAATTGGGAAGAAGGATGCTCACAAAACAACTTTTATTGAAATGAAATGCAAAGAAAAGCAAGATACAATAGGATCATCAATTGGAGAGGAGGATCTGATACTCCCAAATCTCTAGCCACTAGCTAGAGCCCAAACACCATGTGATAAATCTAATTTCAACAAAGCAAGCGATGCCCTAACCCTCCTGAATTTTCCCTTTTAAAGCATACAATCAAAAGAAAATCACAAAACAGGCCTCCCTTCGAAATTTCCCTCTCAAAACACATTAAAAGCTTAATTTGAAACAGATGTAGAGGGGGGCGCGGCGGCAACAACGGGCGTGGAACCTCTTTTCCGCCTTCAATATATTTGGGTCGGTCATGTGTGGATTGGCCGATCCAATGACCGGTCCAACAATACCTCCCTCCCAAAAACCCACCTTATCCTCAAGGTGGAAGGATGAAAACTTATGTTTCACCCTCTCGTACAGGTAAGTGCTTCCATTTGATCAGCACTTCATTGATCCCTCTTCTCTGTCACACCCATTTCAACTCTAGTGATTCTAACACCACCTCTAGATCCTCCATTAGGATCGTCGGTAACTCTGAACTAGCTGCATGCTCCCCAATAGCTCTAATATCTCTTAAGGACCAAAGTACCTTGGTGTCAGCTTTTCATTCCTCTTGTTAGCTACAATCCTCTGTCTATAAGGACGAAGATTTAAGAATACCCTCTCTCCCCCTCAAATTAGATGTCCTTCCTATGTCCATATGACTGCTTCTTCATGACCTGCTAAGCCCTCAGAATATGACTTTTCAATTCCTCCAACACCCTATCCCACTCCTCTTAAGTATTATTTGATGCAATCAAGGATTATCATTTTAAGTTTTTTTTTTTTAATTTTTCTATGTTTTGGACTATATTGTTTTTTTAGTTATCCTATGATGGAAGTCAACCAATGATCTTGCTAGGTTGGTGCTCTTAGGAATGTCTCTCCCTATCCTTCACTTTGTTTCTTTTGCTTTTTCCTTGGTGGCTTGCTGGTTTATCCCCTCGTGGGCCTTGTTTTCCTCAGTTTTTTCCCTTTGAATGTTATCCCTTCAATTTGGGCAGATGTCCCTTCGATTTTTGTGCCCAATAGCTGTTGTATTAATGCCTCGTTTTCCCCCTAGCTACTGTCCCTTCGGTTTTTGTGCCCATTAACTACTGTATTAATGCTTTGTTTTACCCATAGTTGTTATCCCTTTGGTCCCTATTTGCTGCGGTTTTTAAGGGAATTCTAATGGCTATTTGGGTGGAGCTTTAATTACCTTGTATTAAATGCTTTTTACCTTTTCCCCCATATATATAGTGGTTGTTTTCCTGCAGTTAGAGGCAGTTTTTGGTAAAGAATTTGCATACAAACCTGTGGGTTTTTTAGCTTGCGAGCTAGCCTCCTTTCCCCTTCCCCTCTATTACTTCATCTTGATCTTCTACCTCTTATTCTCTATCCACAGTTCCTGACCCATTTGTTTGCTGCCACATTTTGGTTGTTATTTACTGGAGGAGTGTGGAATTGTGCCGAATCATATCAATGGTGGGTTCCAGGTTAGATTCATCCTTTGAGCACCTATCATTTATATTTCGAGCTTTGCATGTGAGGTGACCACTTGTCAGTTGTTCTGAGGGTAGCCTTGTTGTTGTTTCTTTATATTTATGGATTTTATAAGCTATTTTCTAGAACTTGTTTCTATCTTTTGAATGTTTCTGCTTTACTGAAAAGAAGAAATTTTCTAATTATTTTCATAAGTGTTCTCTATCAAATATTTAGAAACTTACGTTGCATCATTATTCCATAGAAGAAACCGGTGTGCTATTCTGCCCAAAATGCACCTGGTGAGATGGATCCCTTCCATACAACACTTTAAAGGGAATCATCTAGAACGTCGAGTGATATGAAGTATTGTACTAGTACTCTATCCGTGATAGCCACTTGGTGTTGGAGAAGTTTTGTATCCTCAAACGGATTGCATACTTTATAATCGAGTACGGCATAAGAACATGATATATTACCCTGAAGGGTAAAAATATCATTTCCTTATGGACTCAACTATAAAATTTACAATTATTAACAGAGATTCCCCCACTCGATGTTTGGTCGAAGGTTTATTTATTTTTGGGGTACATACATCCCATAGGGGCAAGCCCCTATGGTTAATTACATCCCAAGTTTTAGCTTGGAAAAACTTTTAATTAAACTATTGGTTTTCTTGTTTTCGAATTCATTTAAGCATTGGCTAAAGTTTTGATTGTTTGAAATCCAAGAAAGTCTTGTTTAAAGGTTTTGGCCCTTTAGGAATTTCAAGGAAGAGGTGATCAATTAGGAATTAGATTTTGGAATAAGAGCCAAAGGATGTGAAGTAGGAGCACTTGATTATGATGGAAACTCAGAGGTGCTCAAAATATTCTATGTTGGGCTTTACATTTTTTAATCTAAATTTGGTTTAAGTTGATATTTTTAATTAGAAAGTTGGGGCTTACATTCCAACAACACATGTTGGAGGAATTGCCCGACAGGTGAAGGCTTATAGGGTGATTTAGAATCAACACATGCCTAAGACCCTAGAACTAAGGTGAGGACTACTGATAGGTAGTGCCTCGAACCTAAATCTAACAAGTGCAAAGGGGCTTACAAACTACACCTCACAAGAGGCATAACCTGCCCGACCTCTGGATTTACTGTCCCGCCTGGAAGGGACTACCAGCTAAACCTTCCTAGTCTCTTTTAAAACCATGTGTCTTGGTCTCAATACAAATGTAGAGTGGATGGTTGTTTTTATTTAGAAGGTAGGGCTTATAACTTAGCTTTGAGGCCAAGATGCCTATGCATGTAGGTATGCATATGCTGACTCATAAAGAAAAAGACTTTTTTGTTATCTAATCCTTAAGTGAGGGCTTTCTATATGCAACATGCTTTGGGCTATGCATGATTGTTTTAATTTTGAAAATTTGGCCCCTTGAAGGGAGCCATGCAAGACTTTCTTATTTGTTAGAAAATCGTGGAGCCTAAATCAATTTTTAGATTGATTACATTTTAATAGGTAGAAATCTTATTTTTGTCCTAAGAGCCTACCGTATCAAAAGTCCAAGCCACACCCAAGCAAAAGCAAAGAAAGAAACCTAAGAAAAAGATGCATTTCTATTGCACAACCATGAAAACAATCAAATCATGCTTTTATTTAATAAAGTGCAGGGAATGTAAATAGAGTCTGAGTTATTACAAACAGGTTTGGAAGCTGAGTTGCCTGCCATTATACAACCCAGTCAAAATTACAGACTCTAC